TAGATAGATAGATAGATAGATGGATAGATAGATAGATAGATAGATAGATAGATAGATAATGAAGAGACTGACATAGATAGGATAGATAGATAGATAATGAAGAGACTAAGATAGATAGATAGATAGATAGATAGATAATGAAGAGACTAAAATAGATAGATAGATAGATAATGAAGAGACTGAGATAGATAGATAGATAGATAGATAGATAGATAGATAGATAGATAGATAGATAGATAATGAATAGACTGAGATAGATAGATAGATAGATAATGAAGAGACTGACATAGATAGATAGATAGATAAGGAAGAGACTAAGATAGATAGATAGATAGATAATGAAGAGACTGAGATAGATAGATAGATAGATAGATAGATAGATAGATGAATAGATGAGATAGATAATAGATAGAGATAGATAGATAGATAGATAGATAGATATGAAGAGATAGATAGATAGATAGATAGATAATGAAGAGACTGAGATAGATAGATAGATAGATAGATAGATAGATAGATAGATAGATAGATAGATAATGAAGAGACTGACATAGATAGATAGATAGATAATGAAGAGACTGACATAGATAGATAGATAGATAATGAAGAGACTGACATAGATAGATAAGGAAGAGAGTGACATAGATAGATAGATAGATAATGATGAGACTGACATAGATAGATAATGAACAACAATTTAAATTACATGATCCATCAGCCCACTAAACTATAAACACTTGGAATTATAAATGTAGCCTGGCGAAAAGGCAAATTGAAATAGCCAAGTAAAAATTGAACACCCTTGACAGCAATAAACATGACATCTACGATAAACTAAAGAATATAACTACCCCGGACCAAATGAAGGAAATTACGCACACACTTACGGAATTTTACCAACAAATGTGAAGCTCAACACCGGTTTGGTCATGTGTGACGTCATAAGCTGCCGTGCAATTTTCGATTCCAGCGTCTTATATGCACGAGTTCATCGTTGCTTGAAAATCTTCCATGTAAACAGAAACAGACTATCATCAGTGTTTTGTCTGTGTATTGCTTAATATATTGTAATATACTGAGAAGGGCTTATATAAGCCGAAAGTTTAGATAAGATTAAAAAATAGGTATCAATATTGTGATTTTCTTTCTTCGTTTAATGATAATGTTATTAAGCTTATTAGACGATATGAAAAAAAATAAAATAAAATAAATAGACAACACTTGTCTATATTATTTAATGAAACACATATATATTTATATATGTGTGTGTGTGTGTGTGCATATATTATTTATTATAAGTTATTAGATACGAACAAGTTATCACTACAAAGACGCATATTTGTTTCGATGCCTAATATAAGCATCTCATCAGGTAGAAATGTTTATATATTTCTTTCTTTTCCTTTTATGGAAATTCTTATGTCTTCCTAAATTTTTAGAAATGTAAAATGAAGTGATTTTTCATGAGCAGTAATTTTAAATAAAACCGTTTATAACCATCTTTGTTCACCACCTGATGAGATGCTTATGTTTAGGCATCGAAACAAATATGAATCTTTGTAGTGATTACCTGTTTGTTCGTATGTAACAACTTATATATATATATATAATGAGATGCTTACCTTTAATCATCGAAACAAATATTCATCTATGTAGTGATTACTTGTTTGTTCGTATGTAACAACCTATAATATATATATATATATATATATATATATATATATATATATATATATATATGTCTGATGAGATGCTTACCTTTAAGCATCGAAACAATTACGCATCTATTTAGTGATTACTTGTGTTTTCGTATGTAACAACTTACAATAAATAACTATTGCTCTGCTTTTGGTATTGAGCCCTCTTTAAAATTAATGTTATGAACGTTTGAATTTATATTCTTTTGGTTCTCATTTCATTTATATATATATATTATAAATTAATTGATTTAAAATATTTTTTTTTTCGCTACAAAGTTCTAACCATGTTTCAAAAATGTAAGCTAAAAGCTCCGAATTTAAATTAATGCTCTGTACATTTACACTGAGCACTACTTTGTAAAAAATAAAATATCTATAAGAACACCGGATCATATATATATATATAAATATAAATATATATATATATATATATATATATATATATATATATATATATATATAAATTATATTTTATTTAAAAATATCTTAGATTGCAACACGGTAATTTCGATGTTTCGAGACTTAATATTTTTATCTCGTCATCAGGCAATGTTCAGTAATTTTGGTGAGAATGATTTACATTTGAAAATTATATATATATATATATATATATATATATAGTTCATCCAAAGCAAGGCATTAATGCCACTAGAACGCAAGGAGTTACAGGGTGTGAAAGTGAGAGAGAATGAAAAATAGGAAGGGCTGAGTGAAAGCAAATAATGACAACGTTCATGTTTCATGAGTGAAAAGATTATGCATTGAGAATGTATTTTTTTTATTTCTGGGACTTTATAGAGATGAGAGTGTTAACAATTCTTTCTTTTTCTTTCCTCCCCCCCTCTCTCTCTCTCTTTATTTCTTTCTTTTTCTCACTAATTCCAAACCAAACATTTGATATGTGTTTTTTTTCGTTTCTCCTCATGAGCAAAACGGAATTGTATTCAGTCATTGGCAAGCGGTCAACTTATGTACAGACTAACATAGAAATTGGCAATTTTAAAAACCATTAAAAACTCTACTGTGATATATATTTATTTACAATATAATAGACAAACGTCGATTGATATCTCACTCGACAAAACATATGATTCTAATATTACAAATAAAAACATATTTGTACATTTATCACTTGAATATGAACGCTTTACCAGTATCTGTTGGCTCGTGTAGGAGATTGAATCCAGGCCCTTCAAAATCTCTATATGAATCATATTCGGGGTCACCATTCATGTTGAGGTTTTGAATCTGGAATCACATAAATTATTTGAAGTACTTAAGACATTAAAGAATATATATATATATATATATATATATATATATATATATATATATATATATATATATATATAATAAAAAAGGTTTAAACACTAATATTCCATGGTCATAATTTATTCCATTGGAATCGTAAATACGATCCAATTCATCAGACCTACAAATTCAAAAAGATTTACGATTCCAATGGAATAAATTATGACCATGGAATATTAGTGTTTAAGCCTTTTTATTATATCCTTACTCTGTCCTGGACATGGAGTTCTACCTGGATTCTATCCTCTTGGAATTATTTTTTATACATATACATATGTATGTATGCATGTATGTATATATTTATATAGTTTAGATATATGATTGCATATGTGTGTGTATATTAACCACTTATATATATATATATATATATATATATATATATATATATATATATATATATATATATATATATGAAGAAAAAATATACGGAAAAACAAACAAAAATCCTTATATGCAATTATGCTGTTTTAATGTTAATATAATGTCAACGTCGGACGTTTCGGTCTAATAAACCATCTTCAGGACATATTCATAACATATAATTAACATTATCAATTCAACATGACAAAGACGATGGACACAAGAACAAGACTTATCCAAACAGATAACTGAAAGTCTTATAAGATCAGCGTTCCGTTTAAACATGGTCACATTGTCGTGGGCGACGCTGTGAAAACGTATTCCTAAAATTTGAGTATTTTGACTGAAAAACGAAAAGAATTATATTTTGATCTAAAATTTATATGTACGCTTGTCGAGCATTAATCTCGCTAGAAAAGGGGAAATACTAAAAAAGCCAGGTCTAGTATTCACCGTGCGTGAGATGAATATGTCCTGAAGATGGTTTATTAGACCGAAACGTCCGACGTTGACATTATATTAACATTAAAACAGCATAATTGCATATAAGGATTTTTGTTTGTTTTTTCCGTATATTTTTCTTCATACTGTCGGATCTGTATCCATATATTTGCTTACATATATAATCTAGACTCACAGAACTTATTTGAATTAGTTAAGACATATATATATATATATATATATATATATATATATATATATATATATATATATATATTATCTGGACTCACAGAAATTATTTAAGACATAAAGGAAGATTAATTTTTTATCTGGACTCACAGAAGTTTATGTTGCTTGGAGTTGATAATTTGAGAGGTGTTCAGTATCCGTAAGTACGTGTGTGTGCGCGCGCGTGGGTGGGTGTGTCATAGCGTCTTCCCATCAGGAATAGACGTAAAACTCCTCACTGAACTACATAGTTTTGGTTCTGAGAAAAACAAAGAAAAAAAGAGAAAGAGGTGAAAATGTCTCTTGCTATTTATAATGTTGTACAACACGTGATATGCTCGAAACACATAGAGAGATTTTTGGCGGAATTGTATTTTGGTTTAAGGTCAGAATCTAGGTCGATACAATTCAGACGTCGTTGGAAAACATGATATTAGTATTAATTGACCAATCAGGAGTCAGGGGAAATCTCAAGGCTCTGTGATGCACTTTTTGCACAAAATTGAATAAGTTATTTTCAGCTATTTGAAATGATGTAGAATTAAAAATTCTACAGTATTACGAATTTTTTTCTTTTGAAAACAGTGACTGGTATTGCAAAATTTGCTATATTTTAAGTGCATATCTGTCGTGTAATGTTAGATTTTAAAATGAAAAAATCTTGAATGGAAGCTTAAATGTTAATTTAAATTTTAATATCGGTAGTTTTTCATTAATATGACTGTCGTTATTCAGCCGTTTTGTTGTGTGGTCCATTAATAGTTACATAAAGGAATTAGAGCGAGACAGATAGAGGGTGAAGGAAAAAAGAGAAAGTTCTTTTTTTTTTTTTTTACACAAGTGTATCATTAATTGTACTTCCTCATGATTGCTAACACATGTAAAATCGCGAAATGGTGAGAAACCCAAATTTAAGAAAATATTTTATAATGTTATTTGGAAAGCTTAGTGTTATCCATGAAGCACTTTGCTTATTTTTTTTTTTTTTTTACCTTTTCGCACAACACACCCACATACACAAATTCACACAGCAAATCATCAAAACGATTACAGATGATTATGAATTTTGGACCATGATCTCCCAGATGAAGAAGATTTCTGTGGTAACAGGAATATTGCTCTACAGAAGGATGCTGAGCATACCATGGACTGAATATGAGAATAAGGAAGACATTTTTAGAAAAATGTTAAAGGAAAGAATGCTTATATATAAACTCAGGCTTAAAATATAATAATGAAGATTTATTTTTCTTCTTTTTTATTCGTCAAATAATTTATTGTTTCAGAATGGCTTTCAAAACATTGACGTAATTGAACAGGAAAACAAAATAGCCAAATACAGACGGAGCAACATTTATTTAAGTTTTCTCAAATTATGAGATTTTCGGGTGGAGGATAATGTTAATAAATTGGCCAAACCTGCTCAAAATAATAATAATAAAAAGGAAAAAATCATTTCTGCTACTTTGGTAGAAAAGAAAGAAAGAAAAAATAAATACAAAATTGATAATTTTCAGTCGCCATCTATCTATGTATATCAGCATGTTCACTCTGTATCTATCTATCTATCTATCTATATATATATATATAAATATATATATATCTATATATATATATATATGAAAGGCAGGATGTGTGTGTGTGTAACGAATGCACGGCCGCAATTTTCGACGGATTTGAACCAAAATTTATATGCATATGCTCCAAGTTAGCGCAAAGGCCAAGACCGACGTTGCATTTCCCAATTCCCATCGATAGTGGAAATAATCGATTTGTTCGTGCTTCTACGGCAGTTTTTATGTAGTTTGCGGCCAATTTTTACTGGCCAGATGTAGAACCTATAGCTGGCTGCCAGGAATCGCCAGGAAGATTCTATTGGCCAGCGTGAGAGCCAACAGCTGTCTGACACGAATGTTAACTAGCATGCTAGCATGCAATAAAAAATCTATAGCTGCATTCGCCACAAGTGGGGAAAAATGTAAATCTGCATGGTACTTTGCTCCAATTGGCTCATTCGCTTGCTTAAACTCAACGTTGATTCTGATTCCGCAGAACTGGGTTGGATGTGAAAAAGTATTTGTTGTTAACATTCTTTTTTCATTCGTTTTTTCCAGTTACGAGTCCTTTTTTAAAGCTGATCGTTTTGTGTTCATTTTGTTTAGTTCTTTTTTCGTAACAGATTTAATGTGTAGTATAGAGCTTAGAAAAAATTTGAAGTGTGAGATGTAAGGCATGTAGCAACATCAACACGGCAAAGGGCACTCCTTTAAAGGCAAGGAAGGGCAAAAATATTTTAAGTCAAGTGATAGCGATTGCTGTACGAGTCGTACGATTTTTGAATCAAGCACGGGCAACGCCTGGCCATGCTGCTAGTATATATATATATATATATATATATATATATATATATATTACTGTTTAAAAGTTTGAAGGTGTCACCAGAATTATGTGTTGAACCTTGACAGAAGTGTAAAAATATGAAAAACTATTCTTAAAGTGATTGAATAAAAAATGGAACCAATTATCAAACTTATACTTTCAGAATCTTTTGCAACGAATTCTCAAAATTTGATCTGCAGTAATCCTGGTTAAAGGAGGATATTTGGCGGAGAGCAAAATTTAATTATAAAATGCTTTTTCTCTTTTTCTCGTAATGAAGTATCTAATAAAATTTGTCTCACCTTTTTTAACCATGTATAATAATTTTCTATTATGTATAGTACAGAATAATAGGGGCCAATTTAAAAATTACCTGGGGTTGCCTCATACCATTGAACTGTAGTGTATATATATATCAATTTATTCACTATCTCTCTCTCTCCCACTCTCTCTATCTATTTATCTATCTATTGCAGTCTATTCATTTTCTACTTATCTATCTATCTATCGCAGTCTATTCATTTTATATTTATCTATCTCAACCTATTCATTTTCTATCTATCTATCTATCTATCTATCTATCGCAGTCTATTCATTTTCTATCTATCTATCGCAATCTATTCATTTTCTATCTATCTATCTATCTATCTATCTATCTATCTATCTATCTATCTATCGCAGTCTATTCATTTTCTATCTATCTATCGCAATCTATTCATTTTCTATCTATCTATCTATCTATCTATCTATCTATCTATCTATCTATCTCAACCTATTCATTTTCTATCTATCTATCGCAGTCTATTCATTTTCTATCTATCGCAATCTATTCATTTTCTATCTATCTATCTATCTATCTATCTATCTCAACGTATTCATTTTCTATCTATCTATCTATCTATCTATCTATCTATCGCAGTCTATTCATTTTTTTATCTATCTATCTATCTATTTTTCTCAATCTATTCATTTTCTATCTATCTATCTATCTATCTATCTATCTATCTATCTATCTATCTATCTAGTTCAGTTCATGTAGTAATAATAGCCGTTTCACCTCCAGGAAACTTTTGGCATTCAGTACCGGTTTCGTTTGAAATTCATTAAAACTTTCCCTTGAAACGTTTTCTAAGAAAAACCAGTTTCTCAATGCTGGTAGCTGTTATCGCCCTTTCCAGTGTTGATAGCGTTTGCCTTCCTAACCTTTTATTTGAAGTGGTGTGGAATTCCAACTTCTTATGTTGTTATTTTCTCTTCACATTACATCTGCTATCCGTTTTAGTTGTTGCTGCTTTTGGCAGTCCTCAGGTGACGTGGTTTCTGTTATACGGTACAGTTCTTTATTTGGGATTCTGTAGCGCCTGATCACAATATTCAAAGAAGGCTTATCTTTGTCAAGACCCTCTTGCTTTACTCGCTCAAAGCCTTTCTCCCCCACTCCCCTTTGACCTTTGGAAGTGGTTGACTACCGTTGACACGGATGTCACACATGGTTCCAAGCGGATTTGGTGTCATGCATGACATCCATATGAAAGTCTTGATCTGACAAGGCGATTTAAGAATATGAATCGAATTTTCAAGCTGATCTTTTTTCGTTTAGTAGCCACTTGCTGCGTTGTACGAAACTACCTCTGACTCAGATTATTCTATGTAAAAAATCCCAGATATAGCTAAAAGATATATATCGGTGAATGAAAAATATGAATAAATACGAAAGAAACAGTTAAGTAAGCCTGCGTGTTTCGTTTTCTAATGGTCTTTATATTGCAATAAATATTTATAAAAAAAAAGTAAATGTTGTTGACCATGTTTGCCGTAGTCTCTGAATATGAAATCCAGTGAAGTCCGTAATCTCTTCAATATCAGAGGTTGGCAGTGTAGATTCGGAGAAAGTAACGGCTGTTAATTCTTTAAGTCTTCGATATCAGGTTGGCAGTGAAGATAATTTGGGGGAGAAAAAACAAAATGGCTGCCTTTATACACGTCGCATTGAATATTTTGAGTTTTCTGATTTGTTAACCCTTCTATTGGTGAACTATAAAATGAGTCAGCTCATTTTCACTGGCTCACTAGTACTTATATCCCAAAAGATGTAAAGTTAGTTCCTAATCAGTTTAAAATTTAAGAAAGTATATCAATTTAAATTTAAACATACCACTCACTGGGCGACCTACTATGTGAACTCTTGAGGCATCAACTATGAACATGACCATTTTATATCTAAAGATTCGATTATAAACCAGACAAGTATTTACCTACAGAACAACGATGAATATGTTCATTTTGACTCAAGTATGAACAAAACCAGTATATATATATATATATATATATATATATATATATATATATATATATTGCTTCAAGTATAAACATAACAACTGTTTACATAGTGTCTCAGGTATAAACTTAACCAATGTTTACATATTGTCTCAAGTATAATACATATATACTGGTTACATATTGCATCATGTATAATCCTAACTAGTGTTTACATATTGTATCAGTTAGAAACATAACAAATGTTTACGTATTGTCTCAAGTATGAACATAACCAATGTTTATATATTGTCTCATATATAAACAATATTTATACATAAACATTATTTACAATAAACCAATATTAGCTAACACACACATATATAAACATAATTGATGCTTACCTATTGTCTTAAGTATAAATATTATCAATATTTGCCAACAAACTCAAGTATAAAATAAAATAAAAATTTAATCGTAGAATCTTGTCAATCATGTATAAAAGAGTAATTGCTGCTAAATACACAATATATATATGTGTGTGTATGTGTTAGTGAGAATATGGTCCAAAATTTATTCATTATCATCAGTGAAAAGATGGTCCAAAATTCAATCATTGTAATCTGTGAGAAGATGTTCCAAAACCCACTGTGATAGTCATCAGTGAGAAGATGGTCCAAAATTCAGTTATAGTCATCTGTAAGAAGATGGTCCAAAATTTAGTCGTAGTCATCTTTGAGAAAATCGTCCAAAATTCACTGTCATAGTCATCTGTGAGAAGATGATAAAAAATTCGGCCATTTTTATCAGTGAGAAGAGGCTCTAAAATTCACTGACATAGAGATAGATTGACATTGCATAACAGTTAAGTAATATATTCATTCTTATTCATGCTGAATATAGGAAATGCGGCATTTATTTCGTTAGAGGAAAATATCAAATTTCTTTCTTTCTTTAGAGACATTAAAAGTTATAATCAAAACTTACAATGCCTTTCGTTGGCACACCATTTGAGAAATTCAAGTTCAACGTTAATTAGAAACGGTTAGCAATTTCTCTTAAGAGTAAAACCTAAAACTTTGTAAGTTTTTTTTTGTTTCTTTCGATGCCTTTTAAAGAGAAGTATTTTTCAGTATTTGCTGCATAGATATTTTTAAAGTCGTCTCCACCGTGTACAAGGCCTGACAGCCACTCGAGGTAGAGGACTGTAGAATAAGAGACAAAGATTATGCGGATATGTGTGGAAAATAATGGTTATCCCTAAACATGAACAGGTTGAGATTGTAGTGGTCGGGAACACACCCACTTGGGACTCGGTCCCAGGGAGCAGCGGTTCGCGGGAGGAAGGTGCCCGTGGGGAGCTTACTTCTACTCCAATGGAATACGAAAGAGGTGAGTGTGGTTTGCTAAAATGAGAGTAGTAGCATGGTGGGTCTTAATCATGGAGGTTAGAACTGGTGGAACTAAGGGATGTGGTCCGTCTGAGAACTTTCCATAGAAATAGAGACAGAGTAGCAAGACGGTTGCGACATTTCGAACCTGAGAAAGAGGTTGTAGGGGTGGAGAATATAACTTGTCACCCACAAGGTTGAAGATGCGCTTTTGGATTCTATTAAGACGAGAAAGCGATAGCTGAGCAGCTCCTGCCAAAATATAGCAACAGTACTCCATTTTCAGGATTTTGGGTAAGCCAAGCTTAGCACTGAGCCGATTAAATCGGTGAAGAACTTTTTTTTAAATTTTTTTCAAGTGGTTTTATGTAAGGTACTCCTTCCCGTAGGCATATTTCAAATTGGGTAATATTTTTTTCATCGGTGGAACTTCAGCAAAGTAATTTTTTTCTAGCTGCTCAGAATTACATCAATTTTATAAATTTCTAGCCTTATTGATCGAGATACTGCCGGAAACTAAACGATTTTTACATTTCTTGTATAACTTGGATTATTGGGTTTTTTTTTTTTTTTGGTTTTTTTTTGGTTTTTTTTTGGGGGGGGTTGTGGTACAGTCCTCGGACATACATATTTCCATTCCACTAACCTCCAGGAGAGGAAATCATTGCGTCATTTTGGTCGAACATTCACCAAATCACTCACTTTTTCTGTAAATATTTTCATGGCAATTGTTCTGATTTTTACTTTTTCTTTTCCCAGCCTTCCTTCTTCCTCGCCTTACTTTTTTTCCACAATTTTTTTTATGTTCGATGAAAACTAATATATATATATATATATATATATATATATAAGGAATACCATTATGTAAATGATCATTTTCACCTTGTAAAATTAAATTTACAGGATTTTTCAAACAGTCAATGGATGACAAATTTTTTAAATAAAACATTCGAGACATGGATATTATATATATATATATATATATATATATATATATATATATATATATATAATTGACAAGCATATGAAAAGGCACATTAGAACTCGGAGATGATTTGGTATGCCACATATGTAAGAAGTAATGCAAATTCATGGCTTGTTAATTTAGCCATTGTCCTTCACACAATCGATGAATGCAGTGTTGTGGTGGGGAGTTTAAGTGAGGTGCTGGATATGTCAGTAATGGTCATATTCGCTTTGTGAGTCGACAGCCATTATATATATATATATTAAGCGTTTCACCCCAAGCAAGGCGAGAAGCCACTAGGACGCAAGGGGTTACAGAAGATTTGGAGCAAGATCAGATAGGAGTGATAGAGGAAAGGATGGGGAGAAGGATAGTGGATAGATCAAGGCAACTAGAGATGTATATATATATATATATATATATATATATATATATATGTGTGTGTGTGTGTGTGTGTGTGTGTGTGTGTGTGTGTTAAAAATTGGGATATATGATCCCGACAAAGTTTTAACTTTTAGACAACTGGAAAACGTTCATGAAAGTAGATTTGTTCCGAAAGTAGATTTGTTTCATGAAATTTAACCAACTGTCTTACGTTTAAAAGTTTGTCGGGGTCATATGTCCTACCTTGTAAAACATTCTGTCGAAACAGAAAACGCATGGATAAAAAAAAAGATTAAATCTTTCACTTTCTTCCAAATTCCGAAGGATTATGTTTTCCGACTCGAAAACTAAATGTAAAGAAAATAGATGTTAACGACTTTTTGAAAGTCACTCATTTTCTTCTATTTTTTTTTTCTTTTTCAATCACGAGAAACGCTCGCTTTGGAAAAAATATAATAAAATTCTATTATTCAATTATACACAAATACACATACACATAACTAATTTTTTCTCTTTTGGATCTGATGAAGCCTTACACGGTAAAAGGTATCATCGGATATATTTCGGAACAAATATACTTTCATGAATATAACATATCTATGTTATAATTTTCGAAAAAAGAATTATATCTGCTCTACTCTGTATTGTGCACTCTTTTAAGAATAGTAATTGTTGGTTATTGGAATTTATTCCGTATACACCAAACCTATACTTATATTATGAAATGGACAAAGTCTGACAATTATTTTTAAGATATTTTTATGTTTATACATTCTTTTTATAGATACAAATATTTAAGTAAATGCTCTGTTTATAAGAAACAGTATTAATAACATTTACTGGCCTGAATGCTTATTTCATGTTTTCTTGGGTAACCATAAAGAATCATAGACTGAAGTGTCAAAAACAACTGGAAACAGCTACCTCATCATGTGTAACTCCTCCTTTTACCAGAATAATGGTATCTACTTTATATGGTACAGAGTCTAAAAGGTGCTGGAATTGTATCTATCTAGGCAGATTCCAATACTGTTCATAACC